GATGAATTTTAAAGTACCTACCTAGATTGCAATCTGGAGGTTCTTTTCATATTTATATATTTCAAGGTCATCGGCAAAAAGATAGGCACCATCGTGTCTTATGCATGCTACTATATCGTTAATTTTACAAAACATAAGAATATATTCTATATGGTCGGCTATTAATATATTCTACCCATTTTAAGACTTATCACATTGCGAGTAGGTAGGTAAGTACCTACCAGTCCTCTACCAATTTTTATAGCTACCTCTATCTGCCAACTTTAGTTCGCCATTACCTAAAGTATGTCCAAAAATGAAGGTCTAAGTATATTGGATGTAAAAGAAATATTCAAGCGATTGGACTGATCGGTAAGTGATCGTAAAACTTGAGGCTGTGCACTCATCTATGATACAGAAAGTAGCTTATTGCTGTCCGAGCCATATCGTGGTCTGAATTTAGAAAATTGGAGAAATTGGAGTTATCTCTTGGAGTAGCACCCGAATGCAACATGACTAACTGCCAGTTGCATATCATTGTACAACATTTGTAAAATATTACCAGTACATACCAAAGTAGAATACCTTATAGCTATGGAACAGTACAGTACAAGTAAATACAAAGAGTCTGTAACACATAGTTATCAAACCAGGAGAGCTGCACAGGGTAAATTTGTAATACCAAAGGTTAAAAATTATTATGGAAAAAGAACTAGGCAGTATTTGACCCCAATAATTTATAATAAAATAGCGTTCATAAGAAATAACAGTGATACCCTAAGCACATTAACCCTAAAGAAAAGACTGAAAATGGAATTTTTAAATATGCTAAACACATAAGTATTAAAATTAACTGTATTGTCTTAGATATAAAAATAAATAAATTAAAGATATCTTTTATGTACCTTTAATAGTAATAATTAACAATATTGTAAAACATAAGAGCGCCACTATCGCCAACAAACTGTCTTACAGTTTGGCGATTTTTGATGTAAGTTAGTAATGTAAAACTATTTTGTTAATAAATTAAATTAAAAAAAAAAAAAAAATCCAATGTTTTCTCCCATCCTAGGCGGAACGAGAGTGTCCGTCTTAATAAAAACCCTCCCCGCTCCTTTTCCTGCCCCTGGCTGGACATCAGTCCTAATGGGCCCCATCAGTGGTAGTCTGATGTAATATTATATTATATTAGACTAAGGTAAAAACTTAGAGTATCCTAACAAGGTACCTGCTTAGAGGCTCGCGCGAATCGTAGCACGCTCGGTTCTGGTTTTAGTTGCGGTGACGAGCTACCAAAACGCTGTCTCACTATTCTATATAAAATCGATAAATGGTTCTTGATATCAAAATTCTAACTGTTTTAAGGCCCAATTTCAAAATGTCTGGACATCCACTACATATGTACCAGAAATAATTGAATATTAAACGAAATTTGTATGACCTATGAGCCGCGTAACTTTATCAGGAAATTACTTCAAGTTAGTGAAAAACTGGTGCTAAACGGTAGCTTGTATTTGACTCAAATTACTAACGTTTTATTATACTGCCATCTGTTGGTTTATTGTGGAACTACTGCAAGTTAGGTCTCAATATGCTACTACGTGCTTTCTTCAACTTCATAACATAACCAACGTCGGTAGGTATGTGCTCCTATTTTATTTGTTGCATCGACAAGATGGCGGCCTTTGTCCTATCCGGGTCCAGTTTAAACGGCTAGGCACCTAACTAAATCATGTACTCTTAAGCTATGTATATTACGTTTGTCTCATCTTACACATTACATATTGTCTTATAATGACAATATTTTCGGATTCTAAATCAGAATATCAGCACATTCTCGTTGCTGCATACTCACAACAACATGAATCTCAAGCAAGTGTGGGAGGAGCCATGCTTCGGCACGAATGGGTCGGCTCGACCGGAATGATACCACGGCCTCACAGAAAACCGGCGTGAAACAACCACAGCGTTGTGTTTCGCTGTGTGAGTGTTGTGTGCCGACCTTTTAGGGATTAGCGATTTGGAGATTTAGGGATTGAGGAGGGATTGGGGGTGGGGAAGGATTGGGCCTCCGGTAACCTCTACCGGTTGGTTGGATGTACTAATCTATACTAATATTATAAAGAGGTAAAATTTGTAAGTTTCTAAGTTTGTATGTAGGGATAATCTTTGGAACCGCTGGTCGGATTGCCAAAATTCTTTCACTGATAGATAGCTACAATGTTCCTGAGTGGTATAGGCTATAAAACATCACGCTACGATCAAATGGAGCAGAGCAGCGGGTGAAACCGCGCGAGAGTAGCTAGTCTGTGATTAGTTTTGAGTTCACGTTTATTTCGTTTGGAGCCATGATTGGTCAGCTTCAAGTGAACCGACCAATCAGGGAGTAGAACATGGTATCATTTCGATCGTGTAAACACTTGCACTGGACTCTCTATTAATAAAATTCTGTTGCTTGCAGTTTATTTTTGGTAACCTTTTATCGTTGTATTTTTTCTTATATTCGTGTAAGTGCTTTGTGTTTGATTCCAAACAAATAATTTTTCTTTCTTTCTAAATTAAATTAAAAGACCAATTAAAATAATACTGTACTGATAAAACTTTATTAAATAAATAACAGGAATGCAATAAGTCGTACACAATGGTAACTTATTTACTAAAAAGCATATTATAGTGTAGGGTATAGCTAAGAGACATACATAATTATAAACTTACATAATCACATACATACATAAATACATACACATACATACATACATACATACATAAATACATACATACATATAAATAACTCATACACAATAAGTCTAAACATTACACTAACAATCTATAAAAATATTTATTTGTATTTGTATAACATCTGTACACAGCCTTATACGCACGCACGCTTGTACACACCCTTAGCTATACCTACCGTCCAGCCGCTAGCGGAGCCCCGGCGCCCGCGTTGCCAAAGTACCTAACGTTCGGGGAACCGCTCGGTATACGGCGCGCTGTCGCCGCCTCCACCCCGCGCTCACGAGCCGCGCCCCTCGCTCGCCCTCGATAGTCCGCATCGGCCAGCGATCGCGCGCGCATCGCCGAACATTACTCGCGTTATATTTAAGTGAATGTACAAATATCTTATTAACTATTGTATGATAACTTTTGTATTTCAATAATAAACATTTATAAGTTAGTGCGTAGTGTTTAATTTCTACCTGAACACTATAGACACTACAATAGAATAACTTGTAGTGGAAAGCGGCTTTGTCTCTGTTGGCGCGAAATCAAATTGTCTCTGTAGGCCCCATCGCAGAATGAAACTAGACAGCCGTCCCCGTAAGTAAGCCGCATAAAAATAATTCAATTTAAAATCAAACCTACTATTGAAAGCTCTATGTAAATAAATAAGAATACATGTTTTTTTTATTAGTGGAGTTAATTAACCTATTTACCACTACCGAATGGTGATATTACCAAAGCTATCTCAAATACATTTTATTTTACCACCTTAACATGTTACGATAAAGTTCAACTTCTATCAAATATTTTTTCAAAAATTTATAATATGTAATAATGTTCTTTTATGAATAAATATTGAATAAAATATATACTACAATAAATATGTTTAGTCACTTACGTTGATCGGAATAACAGACTCCCAAATTTGTATTTTATTCCGTAGTACTAAACAGATAAGGTTTTCCAATAGGGATACCTACTGCATACAACTGCCTACATTTGATGCATTCCCGTTGCACTCAACGCTAAATTGTGTATGTTTTTATTCTGCCACACACTAGAATTTTCTCCGTGTAGGTATATGAAAAAGTATTCATATTTGTAAAACACATCCATGACACAGGAAAAAACCTATGATGGCTGCCCCATCATAGGTTTCACACAGCAAGATATTATTATTATAAAATTTATATTTGAAAAGAACAAGAAATAAAACACCAATTTATCGTGATCTCGCATTGAATGATCTTTCCACATCCTCAACGGTCAGTTTATAGTGGCTCAAATCCTTTTTTTCAATCACTTTTCCCTCTTTGGTTGAGGCTTGATGTGTAGACATGTGTTCGTGGTGTCGTCTATGTAATAGAAGCAACAGAAATATTTAGACATCAAATAATTAATACACCTTATCGCGATAAAGATAAGGTCTAATTCGTTTAAAACTTCTGTCGACCAAGTGATAGAGACAACGGGAATACATTTTCTACAATAAATTCAAACTGCTACTGCACAATACACCTTATAGTTATAGAGATAAAGGTTAATTCAATTATATCAAGTTGTAAATATAGCAGTTTATTTAATAAATGTTACCAAAATATATACTATACTTATCAAAAATTTTAATTCGTTTTTTTCATTCTAGAGAAGTTTTTAGATCAAAATATTAATACATACATAATATTACACTGTTTTTCGAAGGGGAAGCAGAGGTTTACAAAACCTTCATCTTCTATGATATTAAAATGAATCGCAAAATGAAACCTATTAGAGCCATCGATTTGATCATTAATACCAGGTCTGCTTCAAGAGGCGATTTTAAACTTATAACAAATAAATATAATTCACCGAATGTCAGTGGTACCTAATGAATCAAAGAAAGTATATATAACTCGGAAAGACACATTGGTACTTTCCAGGTTTCGAACCGGCACCCGCATGACCTCATGCATGAGAAGCGGGCGCCTTAACCTCCGGGCCACCACGACATTCAATATACATATTTTTCTGTTGTATTAGTTATTGTCAGGAGAAAGCACATATGAAAAACATAAAGAGCTGATTTATCAATAGTCACATAAATGTTATCCGAGGAATAAAATTGTTGCTGTCCCTGTCTTATACAAATATTCTGACGTGACAGCGTCAAAATTATTCCCCTGAAAACTTAAGTACTAGCAAGCCTTCTGAATTTCTATGTCGTTTCTGTTCACTAGCAAAACAAATAACTGATATCGAGGTGAAATCAGCGAAGCATAGGCGGTTCGCTAGTATTGAAGTGTGACCAATGATAACTTCTGCCCAACCCTTGAAATATAATAGGTATAATATTATGTATGTATCTTTGCTATGTTGAGACCGAGTTTAACTAGTCCTATACAAGTGTCTGATAAATTTATCTAATAGATAATCTGATGGATAAGGGACTGTAAGCCCGGCCTTAAGTATGTTAGAGCGCAAACGCGAAAAGCGTTAAGATGTTACAAATACCAAAACACCCACGTTTCGTCAAAAATTTGGCGTAAACCTATAAAATTGCCGTTTCCCAAATATAATTTAACGGCCAAAACGGCAATTTGATAGATAAAGGCCCATTAATACGACAAGGTTCACCCTATTTAGTTGTCTTAGAGTGAACTTTGTCAAAACACAATAAAATAATATAATATTGCACACATTTGCATACTGGAAATAAAAGTAATTAATAGAGTTTGAAAAAACAACAATGGATTAACGTGAATTGGAATTTCTTAGACCAAAGTGCTTTTTGTTGACGACACAATTTTTTTCGGATTAATATACAAAGTGCCAAAAAAATTAAGGTCAAGTCAATTTAAGGACTGGGATTTCCTCAAAAATTAAATAGCCAATAGTATTTTAGATGTATTTTAAAAAATACCCCCAAAAATACCCAATATTTACTTAAAATGACATTGTTAATTCTGCTCGATAACATATACATATGAAAACATATCTATTGTGATTTATATGATGAAAATAAAGCATCTATTAATCAATTAAACTTGTACATCCCACCCTAGATTACTGAGTACCGATTTCTTCTCATTAGTAGTGAAATGCAGTACGGCTGCGATGGCGTTGAGCATGTGTTTCCTCCCAGCGTTGTCTGTCGACATCAGGTACGCCATCACTACGTTCTTAAGGTACTCCAAGTTCGCGCCCTCTCTTGATTGGATGCGACGTAATCTGAAATGAGATTTAATCTAAATTAAACATTTGAAACTGTGTTGACTAGGTAGACTGGTAGAGTATGCTCAATACATTAACACCTGGTTTCCGAAAGGGCGATCAATGTTAAAATCAATTTAATCTCTTGTCCAGTCATCTGATTGGTTGACTGAATTATCAACAACCAATTAGATGACTTGACAAGAGATTTAACAGGAGATTAGTTAATGTTAGCGTTGACAAGCCTTTCAGAAACCGGGTGTAAGTCCACCTAAAGTACAATGTTTTGTGCATGAAGTATTAAACAATTAATTCAGTCACATATCCCGTCCCTCGGTAGCCCGGTGCTTCAGAAGCTTCTCATGAGGGTGTGGTTTCGAAACCTTGATAGTAACTAATTTCTTATGAGTAATGTGAACTTACTTTCTAAGTTTAGAAAGAAAACATTGTGAGGAAACCTGAACTTAATTTCTGGTTATAAGTAAGTGGCAATCCGCATTGAGAACGGGTGATTATTAACGCTGAACCCCTTATCTTATTGTTTGCCGTGTAAAAGTGCCGTTTTATGGCCCATTTGCAAAAATAAATTCATGGTTTTATTGTTTCATTATTCGTGTGAGAAAATGTTTTTGCTCAGCAATCAGTATCTACTTATAGGCTGATGATGCTGAAATGTAGGAAAACTAGGATTGGACCGGCTCGATTGAAGTGATACTACGATCACATAAGTATTGAGTTTGAAACAAACGTATAATTAATGCGTATTGTCGTGTCTTTGAGGTTACCGGAGGTCTTTGAATCCCATAAACCCTTATCCCCATAATACCGGCAAGGCTCTTACATTCCTCTGGTGTTGTGAGTGTCCATGGGCGGCGCCGATTGCTTACCATCAGGTAGTCCGCCTGCTCGTTAGCCGGTATTATCAGTATAAAAAACTTACCTATCAATTTCCTCCTTCAAAGTACGTATCACCTCTTTGAATCGTTCCTTTTCAATCGTAGCCTCACGTTGACAATCTCTGTAAAGACAAGTTCTATGTAAATAAGTGTGAACGTATTGTCATGCCCGGCCACAGAATGGCTTCTTGACGAATTCTTGAGTTCTTGAGGAGGCAAACATACATTTTGAATTGAGAAAATCAAAAGAGTACCTAGTACGATTTGCTTTACGTTAGCACATTTAGCCCTCTGATTGGTCAACTTAAAGCGGGCCAATAAAAGCGCTGAATGTCATAAACGTGTCGAGCGTGTTGAATGTTACTCATAATTTTTGTAGGCAAGAAATTGTCTATGGTGTGTGTATTAAAAAAATATTATGATTGGAAATTAAATAGTCGAAATAGCTTTTTGTTAAAGAAATGTATAGGTACTATAATTTAATGTGAACCATATTTTTTTATGATCATAAAAAATCCCAAATAAAAAATTTGTTCGATCTGGGATTCGAACTCTAAACATACAACACAACAATAACTCGCCAGTAGTAACATTTTTTTTTTTGTTATTTTATTTTGATTTTCTCTTCCATTTAGGGGACCACTTTGAACAACTTTAACATTAGTGAAATGGGACAGCCGGACAATTGTCTAATTGTGTAATTGTGATTAAGGTTTTTTTTCTATTTTTTTATGAAACACGCGTAACTTGTGACTTAACAACCCCACGAGGCAGTTTTTCAGGTCAATCAACAAAATATGCTGATATTTACCTGAACTGTCCCTCCATGATGTGTTTCTCTTTCCTAAGCTGAGAGATATCGAGATCCTTCCTGGCCAACTCGTGCGCATAGTGCAACATATGCGGCGGTGCTGTTACGTCCTGGAAAATATTATTGTAATTTAAAAATATGATTACTTACAGCGTTTTACGACGAATAGGCAGATATACCTATTCATCGTAAAACGCGGTTGTACTGTTTTGTGGTAAATAGATTGAAATGAGAGATGATATTAAAAGGTAAAAGATTTCAGAGCACAGACTATAATAATTGTGTGATTCACCAATTGTTGTTCCGGGTCTGGGTGTAGCATGTAAATGAATTTTAGAACGTAAAATTTCCACTAAAGCATGGCACGTTTCCCATACATTTATTTACTATTTTTTTATGTCTGGATTTTAGAAGACTGGCTTCTGAGTTTGTTTCGACATTTCTTATAAGACAGTCAGATAGGCAATGCCAGCTTTCATCTTGTTTTTAAATAATTACGTAAAATATTTAATACTAGCTATTCACCCGCTGCTCAGCTCCATTTGATTGTAGCGTGATGTTTTATAGCCTATAGCACTCAGGAACATTGAAGCTATCTATCAGTGAAAGGATTTTGGCAATCCGACCAGCTGTTCCAAAGATTGCCCCCTACATTCAAACTTACAAACATACAAACTTAAAAATTGTACCTCTTCATAATATTAGTATAGACTAGTATAGATTTATTTTGGCGTGTAAGAATGCCGTTTTATGGCCAATTTGCAAGAATAAAATCATTCTTTCAAATTGTATGTTTGTAACACACCCGACCAACGACATAGGATAATATCTCGATATTGGGGAATGTCTCTATATTTTTAAATTAATGATAATAAGTAAACTCACAGGCAACATTCCTTCTTTGAAATGCGTATGTTCTTCAGCGCTAACTCGCCGCGAGCGTTCATTCCGCGCCCGGATATAGTTGTCAGTTTCTTCTAAGAGTGCCGCGTATCTGTCGCGCTGAGTCTGAACTTGTTTCTCCAAACTTAAGATACGGGTCTTAAGATCTGATACGACCTCTTTTTGGTAATCTTGCTCGTTTTTGTGTTTCTGCAATGAATTTAGAGGGTTTTGTTAATGTTATTTTCGTATTTATTATCTATTATCTATTATTCGTATATATTATCATTATTATAAGTGCAGGTTGATTGGAAACAATAGCATTATCTTTAGGTACTTAAGTTTATAAGAATGATGTTTAGTGAATGAAATTCCATACTTATCTTTATCTACGAAAATCCTTAGTTATTTTTCAATATGTTTTTTATGTTTATTATTCAATATGTTTTTTTTTGTAGGTGATTTTGCTGTCTATCTATATATAAAAAATGTATATAAATAAAAAAAAAATCTACTAAGGAAAAATTACTTTGGTCATCCATTGAGCTTTGTTCTTTTCCTTTTATTTATTAATATTTTTTGTCTTATTTGGTAAGACAACAAAAAAACTCAGAAATAATAGAAAATAGTGGTACAGTCTCAGAAATTAAACAGTTAAAGAAAAACTGAATATCGAAAATGACGACCTCATATCATCATTACACATACATTACAAGAAAAAATAGATACTTTTTAGACAAACCTTTATAAAACTTCTACATTAATAAACTTACCTCTTCATACAACTTCAAAGTGTCAAGCTTATCCTGTTTTTCTTCTTCTAACACCATCTTATAAGTCTCAACCTTCTCCTTCAACAATGCGATCTCGTTTTTCAAATCACCCACATCACTATCCGTTTCACTCCCGACTTCTCTCATTTTCATCTGCTGTTTATAAAGATCGAATTCCATTTTCAAAGTATCATATTCTTCTTTACATTTCAAATGTATATTTTCATATCCTTGGACGGTAAAAACCGTCGAAATATCTATGGGACTGCCCAATTTGTCGTTCTCAGCGATGAGTTCCTTTTTCAAAATGTGTATTTTGTCTATGAGCGTTTGTAGGTATTCGCTGTCTGCTAGTTTTTCGTTGTCCGTTTCGCTTTTTTGAGTTGGTTCTGATGTTTCTTCTGTGAACAAATTTTTGGTATTATTAAAATGTTAGCTGTGGGACAATCGTCGTGTAGCTTGTAGCTTTTGGCAGTTGAGTTTTTCATCCAACATTTACTTGAGTAAGCAGTTAAACATATTATCACTTATAAAAGTATGTATTACTCTAAGTAGACCAAATGTTGCACTTGTATATTGCGATTTGATAATTAACTAATCAAAAAAGTTGACTCATTCAGTTGTCTTTGTATTCAGTTTATATTAAAAAAGTAATATTGTTTTGTTTTTTTTTTCAATATTCTCAGTAACACAACATTTGAAATTGCACTCACAAAATTAGGTATATCATATTTTTGATGTGTGGTCGGGACACGAGCAAACGAATTACCTGATGGTAAGCAATCAGCACCGCTCATGGACACCCGCAAGAGCGGAGGAGGTATGAGTGTGTTGTCGACCTTTTGGGGATTTGAGGAGGGGAAGGATTTGGCCCCGGTGATCTCACTCACATGCCGAAACACAACGCTCAGGTTGTTTCACGCCAATTTTCTGTGAGGCCGAGGTATCACTCCGGTAATGCCGACCCATTAGTGCCGAAGCGAGGCTCTGTCACACTTTATACTCACGTTCCATTACACAATGCATAAATTATGCTCAGTACATATGACAAGAAAAGTTGTAGCATTTACTTTAACAAAAAAGCTTACCAAAGTCTTTATTAGCAGCAATTTTGTCCATAAGCCTCCCATTGACTGAATCCTTAAGTTGTTGTATCAGCTGTTGGTCGTGTCGTCTTCTCAAATCGTACTGTCCCACAGTCTCCGACAACTCTGCTATTTTGCTCTCCAGCAATGCAACTCTTTCTTCTTGTCGGGCGCAGATCTTTCGAGCTGATTCCTCGGCGCGTTTCGCTTTTATTTGTTCCTGGAATTATTATAATACATGTAGGTATCTATGGGGGCAGTACAAAACGAAGAGGACTTTTTAGGGTAATTTCTTAAAGAATTGAGTAGATTCCAAGGTCAAAAATAAACTAATTCGACGTTTCAATACAATACAATATTGAAACATAACTATACTTTTATTCATCAGTCGATCGAGACACTAAGTTTTAGATATTTTGTAGCTAATTATTAAGAAATAAGTAAACTATTTGACGCAAAAATACTATGACGTCATAACTCATTTTTTCATACAAATTTCATAGAAAAGTATAGTTTTTGACATTTGGATAAAAGTATTGAATTTGACTAGTTGGAAACTACCGTATTTGTAATAGGAATATAAATTTTGTATAAGAAGTAAAAAATAGGACTGCGCCTTTGCTTTGGTGCGTAGCCTGGGTAACCGGCTGGCGTGCCCACTACGCTTACACCCACAACCCTGATATTGGTTACCTAACCCTGATGAACCAATGATTATTATAAGTTATTTGTCATTTTCGAGTAAACCTTACCAATATGTATATACGTTCTTAAAACCAGACGACAAGTCTTTGGGACGTCCTCGAAAATATTAGCAACATAAGTAACTAAGTGTGAGAGCGCTAAGCTTCGGCACGAATGAGTCGGCTCGACCGGAGTGATACCACGGCCTTACAGAAAACCGGCGTGAAACAACCACAGCGTTGTGTTACACCGTGTGAGTGAGGGTTACCGGAGGCCCGATCCATCCTCCTTCCCATCCCTTCCCAATCATTAATTATCTGAAACCCTTATTCCCAAAAGGCCAGCGACACACTCGTAACTTCGATGGTATTGTGGGCGTCCATGGGCGGAGCCGTTTGCTTACCATCATATAAACTAAAATGCTAAGCCATCCAGCGAGCAAGAAATGAAGATTAGATAACAGAACTATTATAGAAGATAGTTACCTCTCTTATAGCGACGGAGTGTGACTGTTCCAGCAGGGCCAGTTTGTTCTGCAGGCGCACGAGTAAGGCGGGCGTCTCCACGGTGCGGGCCTCGGCGCGTTGCAAGCGACGCTGGGCCGCCTCCAACGAACTGCTTAGATCTCGGACACGTTTCTCCAATTCCGCTTGGGAGGCTGAAAACATATTTATTACAAAATATATTCATTTTACTATTATCAAATGTGGCCTAATGTTGTAGGTTCTTCACAACTTCAAACAATTGATTATTCTGTTTTTTTTTTCGGAATTATGTTGCCCCACACTCTTTTTTTTCTCCTGTGTCGTGGGTGCGTTTACAAACATACAATTTTACATATACCCAGCCACCCAGACCCGGAACAACAATTTGTGGATCACTTAAAGAGTTGTTCCGTGCTGGAATCAAACCCTCGACAAGTAGCTCGGCAGGCAATTGCCCAGCCACCGCGCCTACCGTGCACCTAACTTCACGAAAAGGAAGATGTTCTCTATTCAATTGTAGAAAACATACTTAGACTTGAAACTCTCATTTTACCTTTAGATTGTAATAGCTAGGAAGTCTATCTTTTAGCCAAATTTAATTCAGATCCGTTCAGTATTTTATGAATTGAAAGAGTAACAAACTTACATCAATACTTTAACTTTATAATACAAACAGGATCTTACCTTGAGCCTCACTGGAATGTACGACCTTATCTTCTAATTTCTCTTTTGTTTTTCTCTCGCTGTTCAGCTTCAGATGTATTTCCCTGAAAATAAGGATAACATTAAAAACATAAGTTCTGACAATGGGCAGACTTTTGTAGCCACATAGCTAATAACAAAGTTACCCCGATGCTGACCACGATCCTCAGACATGAGGGACGGACTATAAGAGAGCTAATGACAGTTGTGTAGACATGAAAGTATGAGTTTAATATCTTAGTATCCTATAAGAATCACAATTGGGGCAGTGGCAAAGCAACTAGCTGCCCAACAATGAAACGCGTGTACATAAATTGTTATTGCAGGTCTGGGTCGATTTTTATTGTTTATGTAAAGCCTCAACACAAGAGATCTATGCTTCAGCAATGCTTTGTCATGGCTCAACCGGAATTATAATACTACACACAACCACTCACAAAACGCCAGTGTGGTGAAACAACGCCCGACGGCGACGGATTAGCCAAAAGACCGGTAAAGAACTACAACTTCTCTGTTGTTAGGGATGTTGCATCGACGGCGCCAATTCAAAGTCAAATTCAAAATCATTCATTCCAACTAAACCATAAGTAGGTATTTTTGAAACATCAAAATAGAATAATTTGACTGCACGGTTGGCGCGGTGGCTAGGCAACTGGCTGCCGTGCGACGTGTCGCGGGTTCGATTCCCGCACGAAACAACACTTCGTATGATCCACAAATTGTTGTTTCGGGTCTGAGTGTGATGTGATGTGTATGTGAAATTGTATGATTGTAAACGCACCAATGTTTAAAAAAAAAGTTTGCCATTCTGCTCGTCGGTGAAGCTAGGTGTTTGTTCCAAAGTGTGGGTGTACCTAAATTCGAATTGCTTATCATCTCATGATTTATCGGCTCTTTTGCCGCCAAATGTCATAAAAAAGAGTAAATAATTCCCTTTCCTAAAAAAAATAGCATGAACACTCACTTCATCATAGCCTGATGATCGGCTCTCTCTTTCTCTCTCTCTTGTATCTCATACGCTACCTTCGCCTTCAGGTTACTGACTTCAGCCAAATGCTGCTGAATAAGAGTTCTGGTCTCTTCTCGCATTGCAGCTATCTGGTTTTCATACTAGAAGAAAACAATGAAAAACACAATTATTAATATTCAAATAGCAAATTCACCCGTAGTCTTAAGATAATAATTATCAGCTTTTTAGTATCCATTGCTAAACTAAGGTTGTCATAAAGAAAGTATGCAACTAATCTCCTGAGTTACTCAAGGCGAAATTGGACATTTCAATCTTGCCTATAATTAACATTATCAATCAAAAGTCTAAGTTTCATCACAATTTTTTTAACTTCGTGAGATGATAGACATGTAAAAATCCATCAAAATACAGGCAGTTGTTTATGAGTTTTTTGTCAATATATTTTGTCGGTACAAACACATAATTTTAAGAATGTTAGTTAGTTTGTAACTGGCTAATGTATAAGACCTACTGCCTATAACCAATACTTTTAACTTCCTTGTATACAATTTTTCAAATTCGTGCTGTGTGTGAGCCTACCTTATTATAATATATAAATAAATAAAGTATTAGCTACCTATGTCAATTGAGACATTAATTTATTATTTTGTAGTGAAACATTATGACTACAGTTATGTTTTAGATGTTACCCAATTTTAGTTAATATGAGGTCACCTGATTAGTTTCATAATAAATATATGACTTCTTATCAGTTACAACGCAAACATGAGTTTGCTTTTATGAAAGAACTAGGTTCTCTATATATAACCTAAACATTATTACCAACTTTTACAAAACATTAAAACAATACACATAGCATAAATAAAATTAAGTGTAGGCATGTGAAATTGTATGTTTGTAAATGCACCCATGTCAAAGGAGAAAAGCCAGAGTGGAATTAGGTATCAAAAAAAAAATACTACAAATTATGATACATAGATGATGATGATGATACATGATACATTCGAGTCTGGGAGAGCCTTGCTTTGTCACGAATGGGTCGGCTCGACCGGAGTGATACCACGGCCTCACAGAAAACCGGCGTGAAACAACCACAGCGTTGTGTTTCGCCATGTGAGTGAGGTCACCGGAGGCCCAATCCTTCCCCTCCCCCAATCCCCCCTCAATCCCTAAATCTCCATCCCTAATCCCTAAAAGGTCGGCAACGCACTCGTAACTCCTCCGTTGCAGGTGTCCATGGGCGGCGCTGATTGCTTACCATCAGGTAATCCGTCTGCTCGTTTACCGACCGATTGCATAAAAAAAACATAAGTTGCTTGAGCTTGGAATAAAACCAAACCCATGATATTAGCGACCACTTATGCTTGTATATATAAAGTGTTTTTCCGTACCTTATCTCTAGTCAGTTTCTTATCTGCTTGGAATGCTTCTTCCATTCGCGACTTCTCTTCTGTCAAGGTGGATAAAGACAGCATGAGAGCTGCAACTGATTCATCTCTACCTTCATCTGAAAATAAACATTAATATTATCCTGAGTATGCAGCATAAAAGGAGTTGAATACAGTTGAAAAGTCTCCTTGAAGCTTGAACTAAGTAAAGAAATTTTGACATGCTAGTACTTAATTCACAGAAAATTGCAAAGCCCATCATAGTAGTATCATTTCGGAAATATAAGAGACATCAGTTCTCTAGCATTATTTTTATTATTATTTATTGTCTTTATTCAAGAAAGGTACTTAAGTATTTTATAAGCTAAGCCCCACAAAACTGTTGCAAGATTTTGACTGTGGAGCATGCCTTTATAATATTAAAAAAAAATAACTCGTGACAAATGTTAGGAAGGTAAACTTAACAAATCAGAACAAATAGGTAATATTGATAAGGAAAATGTCAGAAACACAACACTGCACATTTACAATGAAACACTATAACATAAATTATATTTTTACAAGGATAAATTGAATCTTGAATCATAACTTTCTTCTACTATTATTGAGTGAATAAAAAATAAACAATGCTTACTAAAAACTATTACAACAAGACCATCCTTTGAATTACTTTAATTAAATTACATGTTTCACCAAACTGCAGGTTTTTATCGCACTAAGGCCAGATTTTCAATGGTTACATAAAAGTTACCTGGGATATAATTATATGCTGTCGCATCAGAATGTTTGTATAAGACAGTGACAGCAACAATTTTATTCCTGAGATAACATTTATATGACTATTGAAAAATCAGCCCTAAGACATTAAATTATTTCACAATGTCTAAAAACCAGATATTTTTTTTTTTTGTATATTGGACTATATACTAGGTTAGTTGCCTTTTATGGCTGCGTTAACAGACATACAAATTTCACCAGGCACAGAATTTGAAAACAGAACATATTTGTAAGGTAAAAACAATTAAAACCTCATCTCAACCTCAATTAATTGTCTATAGCTGAAGTATTAATTTCATCCAATGTATTTTATTAAATAATTTGGAACCAACCTCCTCCTGGTCCTTCTGCTGGACTGTCAGTTTTATTGAGAGCTTTAAGACTGATTTCCAAAGCTTCCTTTTCTTTAACAAGTCCTTTGTAAGCAGCAACCACATCTGGAAACCAAATTAAGTAGATACTTTTTTGTTAGAAGGCAATTATTGAGTACCTAAATGTATTACCTGATGCACCACTCAAGGACACCCACTCAAGAGAGGCAAAAAGGAGTAACAAGTGTGTTGCCTGCCTTTTAAATAGGAGTACACTATTTTCTAGTTTGATTTGTAACACAATTGTAATATATTTTTTGGTTAGGCATAGAGTAACATATAACTAGTAAACTATCATGATAACTATGTTACTATGATAATTAAATTTTGTAGCAATTTCTAAAATAAAATGAAAAAGATTCTACATATTGAAGTTTGTGATATCCTATTGGACTGGCATTTAATGTCTTCAATGTAGTATCTACTGGCATTTAATGTCATCAATGTAGTATCTTCTACAACGAAAGTCTCACTCACTATGATATATAAAAAAACAATACTGAGTAATATTTTTTCTACCATATTGCTCCAAACATCTGCTAGATTTATGCACTTTGTTGTATGTTACTGTTGAAATACTTTACCTCTCAGTCGACCTTCATATCGCTTGATTTGATCAGCTTGTTTGGTAATTGTTGATATCAACTCTTGTTTCGATAGTGACTCCATAATTTTTCGCACTGAATAAGTTTGTTACTAATGAAATATTTACGTTTTAAAAACAATAAGATAGATATGCTGTTTTACATCACTAATTCGTCATCAATTGTGTTAATTTGGTTAATAATAATTAATTACGTAGATATGTTTACAATAGAGAATAGTTTCAATCAAACACTTGATTTAAAATAATAAAATATTTTCAGTTTTACTAAAATATAGGAGAGATTTACATCTTCGACTTTTCCTTTCCTTTTCAACTGTGGCAACTGACGTTAATATGATATGTCAAAGATGACATTGATTGAAGAAAAATGAATGAAAGTAGAAAGAGTGAATGAAAGAATTTGTAATCTGTACAGGTTTTACCCAGTTCTACACACGATTCATGAATAGGAAATTAGGAATATCGATTACTTTGAAAGTCAACAACGCGTATGTTTTATATTATACACAATATATAAGTATTCAGAACCACGAGATAGGTTTTTTTATCACACATAATTCAATAATGATCTCAATCCCTGCTTATTTTAATAGTATTTTATAACTGACTCAATTTTATACTTTTAACAAAAAGTTCTATTTCGTATCGTATTAGTAATGTGTACCTATTTAAATAAAAAAAAATAAGCTGAAGTAATAAAATAATAATATAAAATAATCATGAATAGGTAAGGCAGGAAGTCAAAATGCATGTTGCATACAATAGATAAGTATTATTTTGCATAAAATAGACTTTCATTGAAGTAACGTGATATTATGATGGAGTGATTACGGACACTAAGTGCTGAGTACGCTCACCCCATATCGTCGTAAATAAATCGATCATGTTCCAGTAATACAAACTTTAGGCACACGTTCATTATTAATCATTGCTTTTCTCAGCTTTTTACAGACTACCATTAGTTCATCCGTATTATTTCATCATTTATGATTCATAAAAAAAAATCAATTCTTTTGCTTCTTTTGTTTGCAAGACGCTAAAATATTTCTATACTTACGCGGCGCGCCAATTCGATTAGATATGGCAACCATTTTGCGAATCTCTCTATACAATGTTGCTTGAAGAATAATAGTAGGCGCTTTTGTTGTTTGTCCTCACTCAAATATCGTATCCTACGGTCGAGGTCATTGAACCCCGATTTAAAAATGGGGTAGCATTCACCCCAAGTTTAATTATTGCACATGTTATAAACGTAATGTCCAAATGTAGCGCATGCTTAATTATTTTAGGCTCGACGTTAAAAGTTGATAATATTGTATTTTTGTCTTCATCGTTAGCATCAAACAGGGGTACCTATAAACCAGAAAAAAATGTAGGGGTAGGTAATTTGAATAGCATGGTCAATCGTAGTAAATCGAACAGATTCACTTGTCTCTCAACAACTAGACAAAATTCTTGGGATTACATTAGCATTTGTAGAAATTCTGATTCAATACTTATTTAAAATTAATTCACGCATTCGAATTCATCATAAGAGACGCCAATAAAATTATCACGACGAGGGACGAGGACGACGATGAGGGTCAGAAAACAAAAAATACGTTTCACCATATGCGAATAATCACAACCGCGTGCCTTCAAAGCTTGCTTGGAATCCTATTCGCAAGCTTCCAGCCAAATAAAACGGGCGTGGCGCCTCGCTGTCTGTAGATTGGATCGATGCATGCGTACTGCGTACATACACCCCCGGTTTATATTAAGCAGGCACCTATCTCTTTAGGAGAATCTCTAAATAAATAACTCTCTGAATAAAATCTAATAAGATTTTTTTGCGATGTAGGCAGGTCAACTGCGTTTTTATCTGTTCGCGATTTGACGATTATCGAAATTCCCATCTTTTGCAAATAACCCTTAGAAATACGGCGTAATCCGATTGAAGCCGCCGATAAGTTAACAGAGGAAATGCTGTGGAAAATTAATACACGCTGGTTTTGGTAGCTTGAGGGTTCTCGGGAGTAAGTTATTGAAATAAAACATTATTTATATGTATTATTGCTAAGGTCAATATTTAATTTCTATCAATATCCCCTACGTCAGATTACATTCGTTGACATTATTTCAAAAATTAAATGTAAGTAAGCCAAACACGTTTTCATACATTATCGGCGATTTGTACTCTGTCTTATAATTCTAGCTACATTCTAGGCCAAACCCTACAATACCCAAACCTGCCCAAAGTAAATACAAACGAAAAAAAACTCAACCAAATCATTAAACATGGGATAAATAAACACTAAATAGAAAGATGTTAGTTTTATATAAATTAAACAGAAACTATTCTAAATAAATAAAATACCACAACTTAGAACACAAAATACTAAAGTTGAACAAAACGAATAAGTGGACAGGTGTGTACTGGTATTATTTCGGTGGAGAAAGCAAGCGTATTTGTTTCAACCATTCAGGGACGACACAACATAGATTAACAGTAATTTGTAAAAATGGATTCTGCTTATATTATGCGCGAATGTTCCTATGTATGTACGTTTTTAGCTCTGTCAGCAATGGAAGCCAAAAGCGGCAATAAAATTCAAGTTATAAAGTGGGTTTGATCAACTTTGGCCATTTCCTTCTAGCCGAATTTCGACTCTGTATCAACCCTTTCTAATTTATCTTCAATTAAAAGTTAGACACTCGTAATTGCCACTCGCAGAGTTGGCGTGTACAGTCGCGCACAAATACAGCACATCCACATCATAGCATATAACTCAGAGGTACATCTACCTTTGACTAGTTCTGATACACACCATTTAGTATTTTTTATGTATTGTGTGCTTTACATGGGTATATTACTTATATTAAACCAAACACCACACCAACATAATTTTAAACCAAAATCCTAATCTACATTTTAAATTAGAGAACACAGTTTTCTTTAAATACTTAAGTATACATACTTAAAGATTTAAATGTTGCGCAAAATTATAACTGACTAGTTTCGCGTATTTTAAGTACTTTAAATAAATTATTAATATTAATGAAACATTTATCCTTACCATAGAAATTAAAGAAAATACTTAATCAAAATGCATTATACAAGCCCATCTATGTGTCTGTGAATATCTCGCCTCGGTTTTTTTCTTTCACTTTAATTATGATATGCATTTGACTATCAATAATTTAACTATTACGGAAATTACTATAATGAATATCAGAAACGATACAAACAGTTGGATAAGGTATAGTAATGAGTAGATTACCCAACTAATTTTGAACTTACACTACATTCAATATATTAATATAAACATCAAAATGAAATCTATAATTTCTATTACGATTATGACAATAAATTATGTTTACAATGAATTTTTAATTACTTAAATTTAATAATAAATAGTGATGATTATATAATCAAATTAGAGAGACAATATCATGATGTGAAAGTCAAATATCATGGTTCGTTTTGTGCAAGATCATGCAAAATTCCCATAGAGGATTGCATTGTAATTTCAAAATTTTGATTTTATATGCACATGAAAATTTTCCAATAAATAATAACCAATTTGACTTTCACTGTTATACAATTACTATAATAATTATGTGCCCAAGAGATACATGAAGGTATCCAAGTCATAATAAAATGTTGATCAATAACTAATTTAGTTTTAATGTCATGGTCCTTATACATAATTTCAATAGAGATTTCTTGCCAGATTTCAAGTCAATTTTATGAATGGAGTCAAATAATAAATGTAAGTAAATAATAATTATGATCCTAATTATAATTGTTCTATAAAATGTATCCACCTTACTTATGACTTTGTGCACAATTCAAGCTCCAGAATTATATTATTATCCGACATTATTATAATAATGGGGCCATCCTTATTTTATCAACATGAATGGAAGTATAGTTTTTAGTCAAAGTTTCACTTACAAACATCATTTTATATATCAGTCAATGCATTTCTGACATCTTTGGTAATAATTATATAATGAACATTTTGTTTAATATACTATGTTTTATTATTGCAACTATTTTTCAAAAGAAAAATAATAATATAGTTGTTGGTACAATAAAAATTGCACAGCATTTCAATATACATATTATAATAAAATATTTTTTTTATTTTTTACTTACAGTAAAAAAAGTTTAATATTGCACTGTCAATCGTTAAACATATTATAATTATTGCCTGAATTACGGTCATATTAGAATCTTGTTGGCATCATTATCCTATTATAATACCAGAACTCTACAGGTTAGTCTCAAACAAAAGACATCCCAATGGACATATAAGTTATATATATTACTGAGTTAGCAAAAAGTATGCAGTTAATTTAATTTTATGCTTAGGTCTCAAATTTTATAAGTATGACTAAGCTACTGACTCCATCTGATTTATAATTCAGCAAGTCAGGTAAGCCATTATAATAATTTACACAAAGTTATGTCTAAGTACTGCATCACTTGTTACTAACTTTATTTATAATCTTAGGATATATTTATATATCAGGTATTTAACTAGACAGGTATTTCATGGACTCTGTAAATTAAAATTAGGTCAATTTTGTAGAATATACTTGGTGTATAATGTCAGTCATTTAAAAATTTGTCTACTTTCTTATTGTGATGATTTTTATTTGTACCTATACTGTATGAACATTGGTTCAAACTGACATCATGTCATGATTTGAATCACATTTATTCCTTATTTCACTCAGTACTATTAGTCAAACTTCAAACCATGACAAAGTAATGATCAACATTTTTGCATTAGCTACAATTTATTGACTAGAATCTGGATCATTTAAGATTTACTCTTGTTCGTTTTGAAGCTGACCTGGAGTACTTGGCCATTAAGCGAGTATCCGTTCAAGGATTGGATGGCAACAACAGCCTCATCATAGTTGGTCATGGTGACAAAACCATAGCCCTTACACTTGTTGGTTGTGGGATCTCTAATTATTTTAACACTCTGGACGGCACCAAATGGGCCAAAGAGCTGCCACAAGACACTTTCTTCAGTGTCAGCTCCAATGTTATAGACAAAGATGCACCAACCTGAGCCGCCAATGGCATTACCCTGTATGAGTGGGTCAGCCAAAGGAGAAAATCTTTGAAGACCTTTGTTGATAGCCAACAATGCCTTACCAGCAGGCCCAACAAAGCGGCGAGCAGCTGCAGGTGCCAGGTATGCAGCCAGTGGAGCAAGTGCCTTGTTCTGGTTGCTGGGGTTATTGGCACACTTGACTGTGATGGGACCAGTGCCACCTGGGGGTATTGTGCCATTCAACTCACGTATTGCGTTCTCTGCCTCATGTCGTTGGTC